GTCACTCTAGAGTTAGAAGGCAAAGGAAATCAGTGGAAATTAGGTCAAATAGGGGTTCTTTTTCTTATATTTGTAGAAAGTTTCAAAAAGAGTAAAATGATTTTGAATTAATTCCAATAAGACAATGAAAGAAGAAATAGAGAGGTGACAGATAATTGAAGAGGGAGTTGGAATGGGGAGGAGACTGACAATGAAGTGAGCTAAGTAAAGTGCTAGACAAAGTAACAAAGGCTAGTGTTTTCCTGGGTAAGTCAACTCTGAAATATCTCCTCCACCTAGCTGAATTGTTAGGAAACAAGGTTCACTATAATTGGTATGTTAATAGAGTATATTAAATTACAACAATAAAAATTAAATGCTTGTCTTAATATAAAGCACAGAAGTTGCCACAACTAAATTGAAAAAAAAAGGACAATTTTAAACTAAAGGATTTTAAATGCTATTAGGAAAGCTCCCATGAAGAAAATATCTGTTTCTCAGTGTTGAGGAACTCCAAGCTCCAGCTCCCCCGGGGCCTGTTAGGGAACTATCAGCATAATTGGTATGAGTTCACAAGTACACTGACAATAATTGAGGCTTATATTCCATGCATAATACTTGATCGCACATCGTTTAAAAAGGAACAAAATTATAGAGGCGAGGAGCTGCCATACAATACAGCAAGAGGAGAAACTCCTAGTTGAGGCTTACAAATACAGACTTGAGAACTAGAATGATCCAGTTGATGAAGGCTTGGAGATAAAAAGTCCCACACTGAGGCAAATAACAAGATGAGCAACAGATAAGACCATGATGTTGCCACCTTCTTCACTTGTGTATTTGTTTTTGGAAAACAAAAAGTCACCTTAGAAAATTTGCTGTCTTATAAATACACAGTCAGTTTATTCTCTAAGGATGTCACCTTCTTTTTTGTTTGTTTGAGAGAGTTTCACTCTGTGTCACCCAGGCTGGAGTGCAATGGTGTGATCTTGGGTCACTGCAACCTCTGCCTCCCGGGTTCAAGAAATTATTTTGCCTCAGTCCTGCCTCAGCCTCCCGAGTAACTGGTATTACAGGAGCATGCCACCAAGCCCAACTAATTTTTGTACTTTTAGTAGAGATAGGGTTTCACTATGTTGGCCACACTGGTCTTGAATTCCTGACCTCAGGTGATCCACCTGCCTCAGCCTCCCAAAGTGCTAAGATTACAGGCGTGAGCCACCACATTCAGCCTAAGGATGTCACCTTCTGATCCAACATCATTAGCATAAATTCAGAGGCAAATATGATTAGAGAAAAACAAACCAGGGTCACTACCATGGTGACCTTGTACAAGTGATTAAATCTATTTGAACTTAATTTTCCTTCCTCTCAAAATTAATTTATATTTATTGATTACGTAACATGTGCCAGGTGCTTTTATTGCATCATCTTATTTAAGTCTCATGTGACTCCATTGTAACTCAGCCTTTTTGGACCTCCCTGTTGTTTTTGTGAAGCCAATCTCAGTATGTTGTTGAATCCCGCCCCATTGGTCGGGCGCGGTGGCTCGTGCTTGTAATCCCAGCACTTTGGGAGGCAAAGGCGGGTGGATCACGAGGTCAAGAGATCAAGACCATCCTGGTCAACATGGTGAAACCCCGTCTCTAATAAAAATACAAAAAATTAGCTGGGCATGGTGGCATGTGCCTGTAATCCTAGCTACTCAGGAGGCTGAGGCAGGAGAATTGCCTGAACCCAGGAGGCGGAGGTTGCCGTGAGCCGAGATCGCGCCATTGCACTCCAGCCTGGGTAACAAGAGCGAAACTCCATCTCAAAAAAAAAAAAAAAGAATCCCGCCCCATCTCACCTGCCCCCTCCACAAAAGAAAGAACCCAGAATTCCATCTTTAAAATATTGAAAGAAGTATATATTTTTCTCCATATTTTGGGAGCAGAGGGAATAAGTACTTAACAAAACTTAAGCATACCGTTTTTTTTAACCATCTCTTCTCTGTCTTCAAAATTCTTCTCTGTTGGTGGTACTCCCCTTCCCCCATCTTCCCAAAATCTCAAAGCCTTCCCTGCCAGGCATGGTGGCTCACAACTCTAATCTCAGCACTTTGGGAAGCCGGGGAGGGCAGATCATGAGGTCAGGAGTTCCAGAACAGCCTGACCAACATGGTGAAACCGTCTCTACTAAAAATACAAAAAAATTACCCGGGTGTGGTGATGTATGCCTATAATACCAGCTACTCAGGAGGCTGAGGTGGAGGTTGTAGTCCGGGTGACAGAGTGAGACTCTGTCTCAAAAAAAAAAAAAAAAAGATAGGCATGATGATTATTCCTAATTTATAAAGGTGGAAACAGAGACTCAGAATACTTAGTGCTTGCCCAATCCCAGAATTTAAAAATGTGGGAGCCAGGATTTGAACCCGGGTATCTTTGACATCAAAGTTGGTGCTATTGGAACCTCACTGTACCATCCTCCCCATCGTATACCATAACTCTGTATCTATTTCATGACTCCAGCACCCTAATTTGACATTGCCAAGTCAGGCTGTTTTGGGTCTTACCCTGAACAACATAATATGCCATATCCTGTTCAACCAGAGGGTGAGATGTGAAATATTCTCGTATCCTCTTAATTCCTAATATCCACTCTCATCTCTTCCTCCTCCTCACCATACTCTGACAAAAGTAGTAAAGAAGAGGAGAAGAAAATATAAAAGAAGAGGAAATAAGATGATAGGCTCAAGGAGGGTTGTGCATGGTTTTCTGAAGCTTGGTCAGAAATAGAAGAAAATTAAAGCCCTCTGAAAGAATGTGGAATGCTATTACACCTTCTTGTACTTCACCTCAAGACTTAGTTATAACTGCTGTAACAGGAAGTTCAAAGAAACTTTAAGAAAAGTCTGTTGGTCTACTTTTCACTGACAGAGTGACTGTTTTAGCTGAATTGTTTAGTTAAATAATAATAGTTATCCTATTTATTATTTTAGTTTAGTTTTTGAGACAGGGTCTCTATTGCCCAGGCTGGAGTGCAGTGGCATGATCTTAGCTCACTGCAGCCTTGACCTCCCAGGCTCAAGTGATCCTCCCACCTCAGCCCCCAGGATAGCACAGAACCAGGCATGTGCCACCATACCTGGCTAATTTTTGTATTTTTTGTAGACAGGGTTTCACCATGTTGCCCAGGCTAATCTCAAACTCATGGGCCTCCAAGAGCTCAAATAAGTGATCTGCCCACCTTGGTCTCCCAAAGTTCTGGGATTACAGGTGTGAACCACTGTGCCCAGCCAATAATTATCTTTTATAGGATTTCTTATATGCCAAGATTGTCGTAAGGGTAGAACTAATGTATGTAAATGAACAGGTACAGTTCCTGGTACATAGGAGTCTTGTATGTATAATATTCAAGATTCAGGCCAGGCGTGATGGCTCACACCTGTAATTCAGCACTTTGGGAAGCCGAGACAGGTGGATCATTTGAGGACAGGAGTTTGAGACCAGCCTGGCCAACATGGTGAAACTCCATCTCTCCTAAAAATACAAAAAAATTAGCTGGGTGTGGTGGCGCACACCTACAATCCCAGCTACTTGGATTGGATGACAGCCTGGATGACAAAGCAAGACTCTGTTTCAAAAAAAAAGTAAATGAAGAATCAGGTCAGGAGCAGTGGCTCACACCTATAATCCCAGCATTTGGGAGGCCGAGGTGGGCAGATCACTTGAGGTCAGGAGTTCAAGACCAGCCTGATCAACTTGGTGAATCCATGTCTCTACTAAAAATACAAAAACTAGCCAGGCATGGTGGAGGGTGCCTGTAGTCCCAGCTTCTCCAGAGGTGGAGGCAGGAGACTTGCTTGAATCTGGGAGGCCAAGTCTGCAGTGAGCTGAGATCCTGGCACTGAACTCCACACTAGGCAACAGAAAGATACCATCTAGAAAAAAGAAAAGAAGGAGCAGAGATTTACAATGGTTAAACAATTTGCTTCAAGTCATATGGCTAAAAAGCCAGAATTTGAGCTGGACACGGTGGCTCACACTTGTAATCCCAGCACTCTGGGAGGCTGAGATGGGCAGATCACCTGAGGTCAGGAGTTCGAGACAGCCTGGCTAACATGGTGAAACCCCTTTTCTACTAAAAATACAAAAAATTAGCCAGGCATAGTGGTACGTGCCTGTAATCCCAGCAACTCAGGAGGCTGAGGCAGGAGAATCACTTGAACCTGGAAGGTGGAGATTGCAATGAGCCAAGATCACACCATTGCACTCTGGCTTGGGCAACAAGAGTGAAACTCCATCTCAAAGAAAACAAACAAACAAAAAAAGAAACTTTGACTTCCTGCCATCATACCAATATTTGATTTAGTAAAAGAAACTTTGGGCATCAATGACAAAGAGAAAGATATTGCCAAGATTATTCTCATGAAGGATTTCAGTATACAGTTAATAAATAAGAAAAAGCTTCTTCTTTTTTTTTTTTTTTGAGATGGAGTCTTGCTCTGTTGCCCAGGCTGGAGTGCAGTAGCAGATCTCGACTCACTGCAGCCTCTGCCTCTTGGGTTCAAACAATTCTCCTGCCTCAGCCTCCTGAGTAGCTGAGGAGGCACTAGTAGATTACAGGCACTAGGCACATGCCACCACACCCAGCTAATTTTTGTATTTTTAGTAGAGATGGGGTTTTGCCATGGTGGTCAGGGTAGTCTCAAACTGACCTCAGTGATTTGCCCGCCTCGGCCTCCCAAAGTAGTGGGATTATAGGCACAAGCCACTGTGACCAGCCAGTAATCTCATTTTAAAAAGTCAAACAAAATAATAAACAAGAATAATAAAATAGGGGTCTCAGAAGCCTAGACTAAATGGGGTATATAGCAACTCCAAAACTCACCCTACTCCATAGTTTATGAACAAGCCTGTGCTTGTTTAGAATACACACTTACTCTAACTGATACCCACCACAGAAAGGTTGCCTTGAATTGCAGATATTGCCATATATAGTCCATATAATGAAACTGAAAAGGTGTTTTAATAATTCAGCTTTCAGCCAGATCCCAAAAAACCTATTGGGGGACACATTCTAGCTCATGCTTCAACAACAAGAATAAGCTTGCGAAAGGGAAGAGGAGAACTCAGAATTGCCAAGATTTATGACAGGTAAATTTTTTTTATTCTGTGTGCGTGTGGTGTGTGTGTGTGTGTGTGTGTGTGTGTGTGTGTAGAGATGGGGCTTTGCCATGTGGCCCAAGCTGGTCTTAAACTCCTGGGCTCAAGGGATCCTCCCACCTTGGCCTCCCAAAGAGCTGGGACAATAGGTGTGAGCCACCATACCTGGCCTCCTCATCAGATTCTTGTGCATATGGTATTAAACACAATTGCATCTCCTGCAGGGCTATAATTATTACTGGCAGATGCTGTGTGTTTGAATTTCCTTCTCAAAAAGTCTCAAAAATTATTCAGCTTATTGGGAAGTCCCTACTGTGTGCTAGGTACTAGGGATGCAGAGATTCTGTTGACACATAGACTTGTTCCCTGACCTTTAAAAGCATACACCTAGATAATGAAATCATCAATTCCAATTAAAGTGTGGTAAGTGCAGGGTAAGTACCAAGAATGGAAATATATCTCCTTTCTTTTTGGTAAGCTAACTCTATTTGCTTTTCAGGTTTCAGTTTAAACATCAATTTCTCAGGGAACCTATACCTAACCCTTACAGTCTAGGCTACCCAAAATATTATACCCTATATTCCTTCTTAGCACTTTACATGTTTAATCAAGAATTGCAGATTTGGGGCTGGGTGTGGTGGCTCACATGTGTAATCCTAGCACTTTGGGAGGCTGAGGCAAGCAGATCACGGAGTCAGGAGATTAAGACCATCCTGGCCAACATGGTGAAACCCTGTCTCTACTAAAAATACAAAAATTAGCTGGGCATGGTGGTGTGCCTGTAATCCCAGCTACTCAGGAGGCTAAGGCAGAAGAATTGCTAGAACTAGGAAGTTGGAAGTTGCAGTGAGCCGAGATCATGCCACTGCACCACTCCAGCCTGGAGATAGAGTAAGACTCTGTCTCAAAAAAAAAAAAAAAAAAAAAAAAGAATTACAGATTTTGGCTGGATGCAGTGGCTCACACCTGTAATCCCAACACTTTAGGAAGCCAAGGCAGACAGATCACCTGAGGTCAGGAGTTAGAGACCAGCCTGGCCAACATGGTGAGATACCGTCTCTACTAAAAATATAAAAATTAGGCCAGGCGGGGTGGCTCACGCCTGTAAACCCAGCACTTTGGGAGGCAGAGGCAGGCGGATCCCGAGGTCAGGAGTTCGAGACCAGCCTGGGCAACACGGTGAAACCCCGTCTCTACTAAAATACAAAAAATTATCTGGGCGTGGTGGTGGGCACCTGTAATTCCAGCTGCTCCGGAGGCTGAGGTGGGAGAATTGCTTGACTCCAGGAGGCAGAGGTTGCAATGAGTGGAGATTGTGCCCCTGCACTCCAGCCTGGGCAACAGAGCAAAACTCTGTCTCAAAAAAATAAAAGACACCAAATTAAAAAAAAAAAAATTACAGATTTAATAAATTTTTACAGAGAAACCTACTACATATTAGCTATTCTAGGTTCTTGGGATAAAGCAATGAACAAAACAAAAAAACAAGCTCATGCCCTTAGGGAACTTACATTTATTTTATTGGTAATGATTTGTATAACATAACGTCATCCCCGCTAGACAGAAACCCTAAGGGTTTGCTTCCTCACCATTGTATTCTCAGTTCCTGGGACATGGTAGATGTGTCATATTTGTGACTAATCAATCTCAAGCCACAAAGCAAAGATTTGCAGAAACACTATTCTAGAGAGGAAAAAGCTGCCCCCTAAAAATTAGATGAGCTCTTAATCTGGTGTTTGCAATGAATCACAGTAATACCTATTATATATTATCATTAAATAAATATTAAATAATCAGTTCCCCATCTATCTAAGATGGTTTTTGTTCAGACCATTTTGCTTTTCACCATCTGTCTCTGTTGAAGATTATAATGTATAAATAAAATAAATTTTATGGAACTTTGGCAATCTCTAGAAATTTACGACAAATGTACTTTGTTGGGCCAGGCGCAGTGGCTCATGTCTGTAATCCCAGCACTTTGGGAGGCTGAGGTCAGGAGTTCGAGACCAGCCTGGCCAACATGGTGAAACCCCGTCTCTACTAAAAATACAAAATTAGCCAGGCATGCTGCAGGCACCTGTAATCCCAACTACTCAGGAGGCTGAGGTGGGAGAATCTTTTGAACCTGCTAGGGGGAGGTTGCAGTGAGCTGAGATTGTACACTCCAGCTGAGGTAATAGAAAGAGACTCTGTCTCAAAAAAATACCCCCCCCCAAAACAAGTGTCCTTTGTAGAACTAAATAGTTCCATCTTGTCAGATGTCATAGCTTACCTATTAGACTTCTTAAGAGTAAGGATTCTGTCTCTTTTGTACAATCTATAGGGTCTGGTACATGCTTAGTATGATTTTTTTAAATTAAAATTTGACTTTCCAGCAAGTAAATATAAAATGAACATGTATTAAAGATTTTATTCAACCCTTTAATTAAGGAGGAAACCAGTGATTCAAATGAACATTGTAATCAATCAAAGGAATACTGAAATAATTTTTTTTTTTTTGAGATGGAGTCTCGCTCTTTTGCCCAGGCTGGAGTGCAGTGACTCAATCTCCGCTCACTGCAACCTCCATCTCCTGGGTTCAAACGATTCTCCTGCCTCCCAAGTAGCTGGGGCTACAGGCATGCCACTGCTACGCCTGGCTAATTTTTTTGTATTTTTAGTAAAGATGAGGTTTCACCATGTTGGCCAGGCTGGTCTCAAACTCCTGACCTCAAGTGATCCACCCGCCTCAGCCTCCAGAAGTGCTGGGATTACAGGCATGAGCCACCATGCCTGGCCTATTAAAGAGACAGTTTAACAACCACCTGATGGTTGCGTTACATTCTTGGTGGGGTGCAGGGCTCTCCTACCCTGCTCATGTCTGCCTAACTACCTACTCTAACAAAATGAAATATAAATTGATCAAAAATGGGTCAATATCTAAAGGAAAATAATCCATTCCATTCCACCTTACACGATTTACATCTCTCTGGACAAGAGTAATTCGCATTACTCATAGTTTTCTACAACTTAAGGAATTATAAAATAGATCAAAGACAATGGAAAGCATACAACCCTCACAGAATTGGATAACCTGAGAGGATGTGCTAGACAACCTATGTAATCTTTTAATTTATTTCAAAGTCTTTTAAAGTTTGCTCCTACGTTGACATCCAATTTTGAAAAAAAAGAAAAGAAATAGTTTGCTCCTATGTTAGTGCAGTGATGAGAAAGGTGCATAGCCCTGTAGAATCAGATTAGTCCCTAAAGGGCTGCTATACGATGCCTGACACTATTCTAAAAGAATACCCAAGGACGGACACAGTGGCTCATGCCTGTGATCTCAGCATTTGGGAGGCCAAGGCGGGTGGATCACCTGAGGTCAGGAATTCGAGACCAGCCTGGCTAACATGGTGAAACCCCATTTCTACAAAAAATGCAAAAAATTAGCCCGGCATGGTGGCGCGCACCTGTAATCCCAGCTACTTGGGAGGCTGAGGCAAGAGAATCACTTGAACCCAGGAGGCGGAGGTTGCAGTGAGCCAACATCACGCCATTGCACTCCAGCTTGGGCAACAAGAGCAAAACTGTCTTAAAGAAAAAAAAAAGAACACTCAGTTATCCTTTTGCCTGTTTCCCAGTTTGGGGTAATTTTTCTTGATATTCAAAACTTCATATATAGAAGTTGCTCAGTGAATGTTTGTGAGGGTTAAGAATACTTGTAAGTTCTGTAGGCCACATTTGGTTGTAGCAACTCTGAAATGTCTCTGGAGACTCAGACTGATGGGAGCATAATGCCTGTGACTTGAATATAGTATTTATAGAAATAGAGCTTTTTATAACTTCTGTTCCCTTGTATTCTGTTAGTCCTGAGATGCCTGAAAATGAAGCCACCTTCGCAATCACTGCTGGAGGAATTGGGGATGCCAAGGAGTAGGTGGTGAATTGATGCAAATTGCTTCTTAGTGTTTATTAGGAGCTGAAGAAATGGAAAACCAGTCTCCAATTTCACATCTTGAAATAGAGGTTTTTTTTCCCCATGTTATTAAAGGAAAGTCAGCAAAAGATATTTAAGTATTATATTTAGCTTAAAAGTCCCTGATTTATGATAACTATACATTGTACATAAAGTCAGGGATATGTATATGTGTGTGTGTGTGTGAATGTGTGTGTGTGTGTGTGTGTGTGTGTGTGTATATATATATATACCTGACATATATAGTAGATTTATATACCTATTGAAATTCTCTCACTCTGTGTATGCATATATACCTATGGAAAACTAGTTGTTGGGAAAGGGGTACCTGATTCCCTCCCTTTCACTTTTCAAAGTGACCCACTAAGCAGATGGAAAGTCTAAGGGTTCAGAAATGTCCCATTCTCCTAAAGACTTCCCCTTCACCATTTTTCTAGGGTGCAGTGCCACTGACTACAGAGCTGGATGTTTTTCCACAGGAGGATTTAAGGAAGGAATGTTTATAGGACACATACAAAAAAGCTCTTTCTATTTATAATATCAAACTGCATATTCACCTTTATAGTAACAGAAAACAAACATTAAATTAAGTCAAATTTTAAATCATTTGACATTGACAAGCAGAAATTACTTTTAAAAAATGTATTTATGGCTGGGCGCAGTGGCTCATGCCTGTAATCTCAGCACTTTGGGAGGCCAAGGCAGGCGGATCACTTGAGGTCAATAGTTCAAGACTAGCCTGGCCAACATGGCAAGACCCCATCTCTTCTAAAAACACAAAAATTAGCTGAGTGCAGTGGCATGTTCCTATAATCCCAACTACTCTGGAGGCTGAGGTAGGAGAATCATTTGAACCCTGAAGACAGAGGTTGCAGTGAGCCAAGATGGCACCACTGCATTCCACCCTGGGTGACAGAGCAAGACTCTATCTCAAAAGAGAAAAAAAGAAAAAAATGTATTTATGATACATACATATTCTCTCGGGGAGATAAAGACAAAGGTAATTATAAAATTTAAAATTTGGGGGCCGGGCGCGGTGGCTCACGCCTGTAATCCCAGCACTTTGGGAGGCCGGGGCGGGTGGATCACGAGATCAAGAGATCGAGACCATTCTGTTCAACATAGTGAAACCCCGTCTCTACTAAAAATACAAAAAATTAGCTGGACATGGTGGCACGTGCCTGTAATCCCAGCTACTCAGGAGGCTGAGGCAGGAGAACTGCCTGAACCCAGGAGGCAGACGTTGCGGTGAGTCAAGATTGCACCATTGCACTCCAGCCTGGGTAACAAGAGCGAAACTCCGTCTCAAAAAAAAAAAAAAAAAAAAATTTAAAATTTGGGGTGATTATTTTTATATTTTAAATTTTGGGTAAAGAATTAAAAATCTTTTTTCAGAGAACTTCAACAAAAAAGAGCACTTTGGGAGGCCAAGGGGGGCAGATCACCTGAGGTCAGGAATTTGAGACCAGACTGGCCCACATGGTGAAACCCCATCTATACTAAAAATATAAAACTCAGCCAGGTGTGGTGGCAGACACTTGTAATCCCAGCTACTCAGGGGACTGAGGCAAGAGAATTGCTTGAACCTGGGAGGCAGAGGCTGCAGTGAGCTGACATTGTGCCACTGCACTCCAGCCTAGGTGACACAGTGAGACTCCAGCTCAAAAAAAAAAAAAAATCTTGTTTAAATGTTCAAATTAATTTAAATGTAAAATTTCTGAATACTAATCTTAGAAATGTATAAAATAGTTTTTTGATTGTTGAACAAAAATAAAATCTTGTTTTAAAAACGTATGTATGATGAAAATATGTAAAAATTAAAATGCTAAGGACAATATACAATGAAAAGCTTTATAGATGTCAATCCTTATAGACTTTAATGTTAAATCAACTTATATGAAAATTCGGCCAGGCATGGTGGCTCACGCCTGTAATCCCAGCACTTTGGGAGGCCAAGGCAGGTGGATCACTTGAGGTCAGGAGTTTGAGACCAGCCTGGGCACCATGGTGAAACCCTGTCTCTACTAAAAAAAATACAAAAATTAGCCAGGTGTGATGGCAGGCACCTGTAATTCCAGCTACTCAGGAGGCTGAGCCAGGAGAATCGCTTGAATCTGGGAGGTGGAGGTTGCAGTGAGCCAAGATCGCACCACTGTACTCCAGCCTGGACGACAAGAGTGAGACTCCATCTCAAAAAAAAGAAAAAGAAAATTCAAGGGCTGGTGTGGTGGCTCACACCTGTAATGCCAGCACTTTGGGAGGCTAAGGCGAGTGAACTGCTTGAACCCAGGAGTTTGTGTCCAGACCAGGCTATGTAGCAAAACCTCTCTACAAAAAATATTAGCCAGGTATGGTGGTATCTGCCTGTGGTCCCAGCTACTCAGGAGGCTGAGGTGGGAGGATTGCTGGAGCCCAGGAGGCGGAGGTTGCATTGAGCCAAGATAGAGCCGCTGCAGTCCAGCCTGGACCACAGAATGAGACCCTGTCTCAAAAAAAAAAAAAGAAGAAGAAAACTTAAGTATTAAAAGTACCAATTGTTACAAAAAGTATTTGATTATCAATGGCATTATTCACTCATTAATTATTACTAAATAAACAAGGAAAATATGATTCCTGCCCATCAAGAATGTGTATACTAGTTAAGAGAAAAGGCTAATATTTAGGAAAATAAGAGAGCAAATTATTATATAATTAATTCATCAGCACTGTGATCTTGGATTGACCCTTAAAGAAAAAGTACCGGGCCAGGCGTGGTGGCTCACGCCTGTAATCCCAGCACTTTGGGAGGCACTTGAGGTCAGGAGTTCGAGATCAGCCTAGCCAACATAGTGAAACCCTGTCTCTATAATAAAAAAAAAGAAAGAAAGAAAAAGTAAAATTCCAGCTGGGCGGAGTGACTCACACCTGTTAATCCCAGCACTTTGTGAGGCCGAGGTGGGCAAATCACCTGAGTTCAGGAATTCAAGACCAGCCTGGCCAACACAGTAAAACCCCATCACTACTAAAACTACAAAATTAGCTGGACATGGTGGTGCACGCCTGTAATTTCAGCTACTTGGGAAGCTGAGGCAGAAGACTCGTTTGAACCCAGCAGGCAGAGGCTGCAGTGAGGTGAGATCGTGTCATTGCACCCCAGCCCGGGCAACAGAGTGAAACTCCATTTCAAACAACAAAAACAAAAAAGAATAAGTAAAATTTCAAAAATGGAGATGAAAGGTTAAGCTGAGAGACTGCATGTGCAAAGGTATAGGAGCTGGGATTTGGAAAGAAAATGGAGACAAACTCAGCAAGCAGGAATTGTTCACAATGTGGGATACTGAGAAATAAGAGCTTTTTTTCTTTTACTTTTTGAAACCACAGAAACTGCTTCCCCCAATAAGCAAAGATAAAGTCATCTAGGAGTAGATTTTCTGCATTCTGCAAAATTACTTAAATGGCATAATTTTTATATGCAAATATAGAGGCATACTTTTGTCCTAGGGAAAGGAAGGCTATGTTACTTGATTCATTGTGTACATTTAAAATTTTCTGTATATTATGCTGTTTTAACAGTTTTTTTTTTTTTTTTTTTGAGGTGGAGTTTCACTCTTCTTGCCCAGGCTGGAGTGCAATGGCACCATCTCAGCTCACTGCAACCTCTGCCTGCTGGGTTCAAGCAATTCTCCTGCCTCAGTCCCCCAAGTAGCTGGGATTACAGGCACCCACCACAATACCCAGCTAATTTTTTGTATTTTTAGTAGAGATGGGGTTTCACCATGTTGACCGGGCTGGTCTCAAACTCCTGACCTCAGGTAATTTACCCGTCTCAGCCTCCCAAAGTGCTAGGATTACAGGCGTGAGCCATTGCACTTGGCCTGTTTTAACATTTTGAAAAATCTTTCTACCTGGGGAGAGACTGCCCCTATCAGGGCTAGCCAATTCTTAGAGATAGCAAAGTGCTCAGACAGGAGTATGTCTCCGTTGCACAAACTAACCAATCTACAGTCATCGAGCTCTATCTGGCCCTTATACTCCAGAAGAAGAGAATATGCCTTTGCCTTAATCATCCCAGGCCCTGCTACCAGGGAACTAGGGACACCCATCTAATTTAGAGCCTATCAAAATTTCAGCTTGGGTAACCTGGTGAAATGTGGTCTCAAAAAACAAACAAACAAATTAGCCAGGCGTGATGGCAGGCACCTGTAATCCCAGCTACTCGGGAGGCTGAAACGGGAGAATCACTTGAGCCCAGGAAGTCAAGGCTGCCATGATGAGTACAGCCGTGATGGCACCACTGTACTCCAACCTGGGCAACAGTGAGACCCTGTCCAAAAAAAAAAAAAAAGGAAAAAGAAAAAAATTATTCAACTGGCCACTCCTCAACTGTTTAACCTGCCCCACCTCAGAAACTCCAATAAAGGCCATGGCCCAAGCTCTCCCCAATCTCAGTGTTCTGCCTCCTGACTACCCCCATGTGACCCCGCATGGCATGTGATGACCCCCTCTTTAGGGCCTGTGAGTATAATAAACTTTCTTCTACAAGCCTCTCCTATCTTTCCTCAGGCCACACCTGACTATCCTATAAAGGCACAATTTAAATAGTTTGACAACATCCTTGATAAAAACTGAGCTATCTCCTAGAGATTCCCTGGTATGAGGAGTCCTGGAGAGGGGTGGATCAAGTTGCATAGCAGCCCAGAGCCTTTCGTAGGGACAGAAATAAAGCTCCCAAGACTTGAAATTCAGAGTTTCTGGGTTAAGCAGAGTACCCCTTACAAAGGACAATTTACCAAGAAGTGGGCAGTAGGATTGGAAAACAGGGCCTACCACAAAAGCCTAGAGTTCAGTGGAGGAGCCGGTTTCAATGTGGCCTGTTGCTACAGCCGGAATCCTTTCTGTGTCCAGCCACTCTTTTTTTTTTTTGGGACAGAGTTTCCCTCTTGTTGCTTAGGCTGGAGTGCAATGGCACAATTTTGGTTTACCGAAACCTTTGCTTCAGCCTCTTAAGTAGCCGAGATTCCATGCATAGGCCACCACACCCGGCTGATTTTGTATTTTCAGTAGAGACAGGGTTTCTCCATGTTGGTCAGGCTGGTCTCTAACTCCCAATCTCAGGTGATCCACCTGCCTCAGCCTCCCAAAGTGCTGGTATTAAAAGCATGAACCACCACACTTGGCCAGGGTCCAGTCACTCTTATATGTTCTGGTTTGAAGAACAGTAGCTGAGTCTGAGAATGAACTAAAAAGCTGCAACCTGGGGCCCAACTTTGGGACAGCACTGCAGATTGTGCAGGTATCTGGGCAGCAAGAAAATCACCAGTGTCAGCTGGGCATGGTGGCTTATATCTGTAATCCTAGCACTTTGGGAGGCCAAGGCGGGTGTATCGCCTGAGGTCAGAAGTTCGAGACCAGTCTGGCCAACACAGTGAAACCCCATCTGAACTAAAAATACGAAAACTTAGTTGGGTGTGGTGGTATGTACCTGTAATTCCAGCTACTTGGGAGGCTGGGGCAGGAGAATCACATGAACCCGGGAGGCGGAGGTTGCAGTGAGCCAAGATCAGCCATCGCACTCCAACCTGGGCACAATGCAAGCCTCCTTCTCAGAAAAAAAAAAAAAATCACCAGTTCCCACCGAGCTTTTCTAGGCCAGGGTTCAATGTATCACCCATGACCAAAGGACCATGGCTTTTCAGTCCTCCTTCTCCATCTCAGTGTAGAAATAAATCTGGCCTATTTCTGGCCTCTATAGGGGAGAGAAGCAGTCAAAAGGAGGATTTATTGGTTAGAACTCTTGGCTCCAAGTTACAGAAACTCACACTGTTACTGGAAAAGGGTAATCCAGACTCTGAGAGAGTTCTTGGACCTCACGCAAGAAAGAATATGGGTTAAGTCTATAGACTAAAACAAAAGCAAGTTTGTTTGTTTGTTTGTTTGTTTATTTATTTTTGAGGCAGTCTTACTCTGCCACCCAGGCTGGAGTGCAGTGGCACAATCTCGGCTTACTGCAAACTTCACTCCAAGGTTGAAGCAATTAGCCAAGCTCAGCCTCCCAAGCAGCTGGGCTTACAGGCACCCACCACCATGTCCAGCCAATTTTTGTATTTTTAGTAGAGATAGGGTTTCAGTATGTTGGCCAACCTGGTCTCGAACTCCTGATCTCAGCCTCCCAAAATGCTGGGATTATAGGTGTGTGCCATTGTGCCCAGGCTGAAGGCAAGTTTATTAAAAAGGTAGCTGGGGGCCAATACTGAGGCTCACACTTGTAATCCTAGCACTTTGGGAGGCTGACGCAGGTAGATCATGAGGTCAGGAGTTTGAGACCAGCCTGACCAACATGGTGAAACCCCGCCTCTACTAAAAATACAAAAAACTGGTCGGGTGCAGTGGCTCAAGCCTGTAATCCCAGCACTTTGGGAGGCCGAGGCGGGTGGATGACGAGGTCAAGAGATCGAGACCATCCTGGTCAACATGGTGAAACCCCGTCTCTACTAAAAATACAAAAAAATTAGCTGGGCATGGTGGCGCTTGCCTATAATCCCACCTACTCAGGAGGCTGAGGCAGGAGAATTGCCTGAACCCAGGAGGTGGAGGTTGCATTGAGCCAAGATCGCGCCATTGCACTCCAGCCTGGGTAACAAGAGCGAAACTCCATCTCAAAAAGAATAAATAAATAAAAGTAAAAATACAAATACAAAAAACTTAGCCGGGCGTCCTGGTGCATGCCTGTAATCCCAGCTACTCAGGAGGCTGAGGCATGAAAATCCCTTGAACCCAGGAGGTGGAGGTTGCAGTGAGCTGAGATTGCACCATTGCACTCCAGCTCA